AGGTTCCCGTCTTGTCAAAAACCACACAGTCGATCCGACTCGCCTTCTCAAAAGCCTCACCACCTCCCTTGGCCAAAATGCCATGATTCGCCGCCAATCCACTCCCAACGAAAATTGCCGTCGGAGCCGCAAGCCCAAGACCACAAGGACAAGCCACCACAAACACAGCAATTGCAAACTGGAGGCTGAACGCAATCCACCCTCCTGTAGTCTTGCTCAGAAAGTGCTCCGGCAGCCTACCCCCATACCCCAACGAAAACCAGACAATCCACGTCAAAATCGCAAAAGCCGTGATGGCGGGCACGAAGTACGAAGTCAGATAATCCGCCACTCTCTCAATCTTGGCCTGCTTCGTCTGCCCCTCCCTCACCACATTGACAATCTGATCCAGCAACGACTTGCCCGCCACCCCTGTAATCCTCACCAGAATCGACGACCCCTTATTGACCGTCCCCGAAAAGACCCGATCCCCCGCCCCCTTCTTCACCAGCCTCGACTCCCCCGTCAAACTCGACTCATCAAAGCTACTCTCCCCACCAATCACCACGCCATCGCTCGGCGGGGACGCCCCATGTGGCACCCTGACCACATCCCCAAAGTCAAGCAAATCCGCCTTGACAACCTCATCCCCTTCCTTCTCGGACCCAAACCCACTGACTAATATCGCCGTAGTAGGCCTCAGCCTCCCCAGCAGCTCCACCGCGTCTCCCGTCCTCTTCTTGCTATAACTCTCAATGTACCTCCCCAGCAGCAAGAAGAAAGTCAAAAACACCACAGTATCAAAGTAAAAGTTCCCATCATGCGTCTCGGTAGCACGGCTTGCTGCAGCAGCAATCATCTGAGCAACCGACGCAAAGTAGGCCACCGACGTGCCAAGCGACATGAGCGTATTCATGCTGCCAAATTTGTAGAAGCGCTTCAGAATCGGCACTCTGCTGCCGCAGCGCCATAGCGTGGCGATTTCCTTGACGGCGCTCCTGTGGAAGACATCGGCGGCGCCAAAGTAGACTGGGGTGGCGAGGATGAAGAGCGCGATTTGGGCCCGGTTGATACCGGAGGTCCAGGGTTTCATGAGAGTGTGCGCCTTTTCGTGGGGAATCAGCATCATGTAGACGATGCCAATGACAAAGGTGGGGATGCAGACGAGGCCGGTGAAGATCACCCGGTATAAGATGGCCCTCTGGTGCTTTCGTTGGATGAGCTTGGATCTTTCTTCCAAGGAGGGAGGATGGTAAATGGATGCCCTGAAGCCGGGGTCGCTGGCGTCGATGGCCGCGAGGATTTGTCGGACTGTGAAAAAAGGGGCGTCAGGGACGTAGGTGACCCTAATGACAGGCCGAGAACGAGTGGGGGGGTTGTTGATCTCAAGCTGACGTCGAAATCCACCAAGACAGTTTACCACCCGTGCTGGACAAAGATCGCAATGTAAACCATCTATCCTGATCTCCACCGCTCTTTCGTTGTGTTCTGTCTCCTTCTCATCCAAGCTGATCACGCTGTCAGCAACTGCGTCAAACCCTAGCTCTTCGATAGCCTCAACGATCCTCGACGCGTTGTGCTGACCATGGAACTTAACCGTGGCGCTGTTGGAGAGCAGGTTGACCGCAACATCATCGATCCAATCCAGCTTCTTCAAGCCCTCCGTGATCCCGTTGGTGCAGGATGCACAAGTCATCCCGCCGATGGCCACTGTAGCTTGCCATGTGTCCGACTTGTTTTTCCGCTTGTTTGGTTGGACAACAACTACTTGGCTGAGTGTGGCCTCGTATCCCAGTTCTTCGATAACTCGGACCAGGTTGTCTGTTCGATTTGGTTCTGTCAAATCAACAATGGCGCTGTTGTTGAGAAGATTGACAGTGGTCTTGGAGATCCAGTCGTATTGCTTCAGCCCTTCCGATATCATGTTGACGCAAGCTCCACAGGTCATCCCTCCAACGGCAAGGGTGGCTCTCCATATTGGCTGTGGTGACAAGGCGTCGGCACTTTCGATCGCGACAAAGGTGTGTGGATTCTTTTCCTGAATGACAGACAAGCTGGTACGATTCGTGTTTGTCTGCACGGGAACAAGGCTCTCGATATGGTGCATTTCTTCCAGTTCATGCTCCTTCGAGTTTTGGCAGTGCGCGCAGTTTTGAAGATGGGCCTTTACTTTCTCGGGTTTCGAGGCAAGGGGTCGAAAAGGGTTCATCCATCGGGCCAGTGCGGAACCGGACGGCTCATTCTGAGAGGAGCTTCCCTCTCCATAGGGGTTGAGGTCTCCCATTTCCATGCCCATGTCGATATCCGAGATGCTACCAGACGATGTTGTGACACCGCATACCTCGAAGCCGTTCTCCTCGAGCAGCTTATGCATGTGCTGGAGGGAGGCGGCTGGACTGTGCTCAACAGTGACCACGGACGTAACGATGTTCGGTGAAACCCATTTGACGATGTTGCTGCCATACTCTTGTAAGACAGTCTTTATAGTCGAGACACAGGTGGGACAGTGCAGGTTTGCGAGGAGGAACGAGGTCGTGGCAGTCTCAGTCGGCAAGGCGGGCGCAGGCGTGCCGCTGGTGGGTGCCATGGCGGATAGATTGGGCTTGTCTGCCGGGTACAACGACGGTGGGTGACTCGATGATGTATCAACGGTAGGCTGTCGTCCGTCGGCTACCTGATGCCGAGCCTTGGGCAACGGCCAGTAGCGATGTGAGTGGTGATGGGCAACGGCGGTATATTAATACTTGCCGTTATAGGAAGTGCGGACCTCTGGCGAGCAGAAGCGCGATATAGCCTGAACTCGCCAAGGTTGTCAAAACCTGCACACAAGTGTCCTGTTCGGGCTGTGGCCGAGAAGATGCCGGAAACAGGTCGTCGTCAGGCTGGAATGTACCCAGTATAAGTAGTTCGGAGTGCTTGCGCCTGGTGGTGTACGCTGGGCGACGAGATGAGCTGTGAGAGGCAAGCTCAAGCAGATATGAGCAGATTGCAAAGATAAAAACCTGAGCAAAGGGGTCGAGTGGCGGGCGATGATGCAGCCATCAGATTTATCAACTGGCTGACTTTCCGCACAATTGACGCAGTCGATAGAGTCACCCTGCAACCTGTCGTTGTGGCGGCACGCTTTTGCGCAAGACTTTGGGGACTCGCGGGACTGCAGTCGACCACGCCTTCCATCTTCGATCTGATGCACCACCCAACCAGCCGGCTCCACAGTAGCCATTGGCAACCGAGATACCTGTCCAACATGTTGAAGTTTATCTTTGTAGGCATCGGATCGAGGTCAGAGAGCATCACCGGAGACACGGCCCCTGTCCGGCACCTACCGACCGTGTTCATCATCATGGCTGTCTTTGTTCCCCATCTTCCGTCAGTCTGGTCCTGTCATTCTCGCGGCAGAATTAGTCATTGAATGGGACCCGGGCACATCTTCTCGGAAGAGTCTCGAAGTTGGAAGACATGTCGTCGGGTGCTGACAACGCCAAGGCCATCTACAATTGATGGGCGCTGTTTGTGGCTTGCATTTTGACAGAGACGTTCTTGCGGCAGCCGGGGCCTTATGCAGTTGATTGGCACAGCGCGCCGCACAAAACTCGCAGGCTTTGCTGCCGAACCGGGAAGTGTGAAATCGGAATCAGTGACGCATGGGATTGTTTGCCGTCCCGATAAGCATATGGCTCACCGGGCCTCGACGTCTTGAACTCATGTTTCCATTTCCAAGCCGGGTGCCATATCCGAAGCTGCGGTGGTGTGCTACCTTCCCGGTCCCGCAAGATACCTATTTCTGCATTCTTCCGAGCTATCTTTACGATTGCCATGTGGTGATGGGATGAGACATCAGGTTGGACGGAAATGCATCTGGAAGGCGATGGTGTTCCCGGCGATGGTTGTGGTGGAATATCAGACTGTTTCTATTTCACAGGCACAGCATCCAGGTAGATTGTTTCCATATTGTCTTACCATCACCATCATGCTGTGCTGCGATAGTGAGGAGAGCAGATGATGCCCACTCCCCCGCAGAATGGCATTACCCCACATCAAAAACGTGCCCTGCCTGACAGTGGACAACCCGCATGCCAAGAGATGGAGGGGCCAGGGACATCCTGTCTGGCACACATTTCCTGTCAACGACACATCGCCATGAAGGCATCTCCATCTGAAGCAGCAACAGATGATTGAGGCCACAAAGGACAGAATTGAAACTCTCTTCGTCGAGATCAACACGTCTCTTGGATTTCCACCCCAGTACAGTCACACGAGACCTCACATTCGCCGCCGAGATCACGTCATTGCCGCTAGAGTGCGACATCGCAAGGTCTCCAACCAGTTGAACATGGATCGTTTGATCTGTTCAAGACAGGCCGTTGTTAATCCTATCTCGTGGGCTACAAAGAAATCGTCCTAACAATAGCAAATTATGCCTGGTCGGCTGTCGGTCAAAGAAGCCGAACAATCACCAGCACCGACAGCCGACATCGCCACGAGATACAGACATCTTGTCAGGCATAACCCCAACCCTGACTGTGCTGCATTACAAACCAACATCCCCAAACCTCCAAGTCCCCCCACATTTCCACCAAATGCGGTTAGCTCACAATCACGCAATCGACATCCATCAACGCGAGCCTCGAATCGCAGCAAGGGTCCAACGCCCCAAAGACTGCTTTTACCAAAGATTTTGGCTGTGAGATGCGGCACTTATGGGGAAGTTGCTCCGGCCGAGGAGAACGGTAGGTTGTTATTTTTTGTTTTTATTTTTTTCCCAAGACTCATCTCCAATTTTTCTCCTTTTCGCCTTCTTCAAAACCAGCTGTTCCCGCTGGCGCCGTCTCTTCTTTCTGTCTACTCAGTTCGTGAGCGCTTCGAGGCAACCCCTGGGCCCCTTACTACGCTATTGCCTCGATATTTCGCGAGCGGCCGAGTCTTTGCTCTTGAAGACGCCTTCAAGAGTACCCCTCCTTCTTCTCCCTCCCTTCTTGCCATTGAACCCCCCCCCCCCCCCCCCCGAAACCGACATTAACATGCAGCTGAAGCACGAAGAGACCACCGGAGGCGTTGCCCCGGTCGTCGAGACTAGCACCGTCTCCTCCGGCTTCGAGAAGACCGTGCCCCTCAGCTCCATCTCCGGCCCAACCTACGTGACGAGCCAGCTCCTCGTCCAGCAGGCTGCTTACAAGCTTTCCGACAAGATCTTCTCCTTCTCCCCCGAGACCTTCGACCTCGATGCGGCCGTCAAGGACTGGTCGCAAGCCCAGGAGAAGAACATCCATGGCGAGACCACCACTGTTGTCCCTCTCCAGACCAGAGCCGGTGCCGGCACCTTTGCGCTTGGTTACATCTTCTCCAAGGACTTTGACCTCAGCAAGAGGCGCATTCCCCAGACCCTCCTTGCCCCCTCTCTGAGCCTCCGGCACTTGCGCGCGGCCTTGGACCAACTGTCTCTCCTCTATGGCGTCTCGAGCCCCTTCGTTGCCCACGTCGCCGCTGCCGACTACTCCAATAGCGATGGCCTCATCACCGAGTACGAGAGCGCCCTTCAGCTGGCTGAGGACCTTGGTCTCGGTCTCGTCTCGACCTCCTCGGCTCAGGAGGTCCAGCACATGGCTCTCTTCGCCACTCTTCTGGCTTCCCTTCTGCCTACCCTCCACGTCTACGACGGTCTCCGCACCGCCAGGGAGACTTTGAGGGTGGTGGATGCGCTCAGCGAGTCCAGCATTGCCGAGGTCTACAAGTGCATCTCCCAGGAGGCTGGTGCCCTGAACAAGAGGTTGGACACCGCTGGCAAGGTTGTCGAGCTTTTGCGCCTGTTCAACAGCCAGCTCGGCACTTCGTATGCTCCTTTTGAGTACCACGGTCACGAGGCCGCTGAGACTGTCCTTGTTGTCTTTGGCAGCGCCGAGGCTCAGCTTGCCAAGCAGGTCGTTGATACTTTGGCTGCTCAGGGCCAGAAGGTTGGTGCTCTCAATGTCCGCATCTACCGCCCATTCATCGAAGAGGCTTTCCTCGAGGCCCTCCCGGATTCGGTTCGCCAGATTGCCGTTCTTGGCCAAGTCCGTGATGCTTCGGCTGTGGAGGATGCCTCTGTCCAGTCTGCCCTCTACTCTGATGTCCTGACTGCGGTCACCTTTGCCGATAGATGGTCGCAAGAGCCTGCTGTCGTTGATTTCAAGTACCCTGCCTCCGCCGTCCACACCCCCAGCTCCATCGCCACTGTTCTCAGCAAGATCACCAGCAAAGACGATCACGCCGAGGTCTCCTTGACCTTGAGCTCCCTTGAGCAGGCCCAGCAGTACATCTTCTGGGATGTCGACAACTCCGAGGCCGTTGCCTCGGCTTCCGTCCTTGGCAGGCTCCTCTCTCGCGAGTCGTTCAACAACATCTCGGTTCACGAGACTTACAACAGCCTCATCCAGGGTGGTGTTGTCCGCACTGAGATCAGGAGTTCCGAGAAGCCAGTCGATGCTCCTTTCGCTGTCGAGGAGGCGGATGTTGTTTTCGTTGGCGAGGAGAAGCTTCTCAAGGAGGTTGCTATCGTCAAGAGTGTAAAGGCTGGCGGCAAGTTGGCCGTTCGTCTGCCCAACTTCAAGGCTGAGGAGATCGAGAAGCGCATCCCTGCCTCCGTCAGAAAGGAGATCCAGGAGAAGAGCCTCCAGCTCTTTGCTCTTGACTCTTCCTTCTCCCCCGCTTTGGAGAACCGCGCGCAGCTTCTTGCCGAGCTTGCCTTCTTGCAGGTCGCTCGCCCTGACCTTGAGGCTGAGAAGCTCGTCAAGCTTGGTGGCCTCTCTGGCGACCAGGTCACTCTCGTTGAGGTTGCCGATGCCCTCGCCCAAGCCCTTCACAAGGTTGAGGTTCCCGCTACCTGGGCTGAGGAGGACGCCGCTGCCATCTCTCTTGTAGAGGAGCTCAAGCCCACCAGCTTTGTTGCCTTTGACAAGAGGGAGGCTGAGTCGGCTCTGCAGGTCAGCACCTGGCAGGAGATTGCCAAGGGTCTTGCTTTCCAGGAGGCTTACAGCCTCAAGACTGAGCTTCGCCCTGATCTCACCGTGAAGACTCACACCATCCACGTCAAGGAGAACCGCAGACTCACTCCCCTCACCTACGATCGCAACATCTTCCACATCGAGTTCGATCTCGGCACCTCTGGCCTCACCTACAACATCGGCGAGGCGCTCGGCATCCACGCCGATAACGACCCCAAGCAGGTCCAGGACTTCATTGAGTGGTACGGTCTTAACGGTGATGACCTTGTCCAGGTCCCCTCGCGCGAGAACCCGGCTGTCTTCGAGACTCGTACCATCTACCAGTCTCTCCTCCAGAACATCGACATTCTCGGCAAGCCTCCCAAGCGCTTCTTCGAGTCCCTCGCCGAGTTCGCCACCGATGAGGCTGAGAAGAAGAAGATCGAGTTCCTCGGCAGCAAGGAGGGTGCCGAAGAGTTCAAGAAGCTCTCCGAGGTTGACACCGCCACCTACGTTGATGTCTTCCAGACCTTCAAGTCGGCTCACCCATCCTTCCCTGACCTTGTCCGCATCGTCTCCCCTCTCAAGCGCAGAGAGTACTCCATCGCGTCTGCTCAGGCCGTCACTCCCACTTCCGTTGCTCTGATGATTGTCGTCGTCGACTGGGTTGACAGCCAGGGCCGCACCCGCCAGGGTCAAGCCACGCGCTACCTCTCTGGTCTCAAGCCCGGCACCCCCGTCATCGCCTCCGTCAAGCCCTCGGTCATGAAGCTGCCGCCCAAGGACACGGCTCCCTTGATCATGGCCGGTCTCGGTACCGGTCTTGCTCCCTTCCGTGCCTTTGTCCAGTACCGCGCTATGCAGAAGGCTCAGGGCAAGGAGATTGGTTCCATTCTCTTGTATCTCGGTTCCCGTCACCGCAGAGAGGAGTACCTCTATGGCGAGGAGTGGGAGGCGTACATGGACGCCGGCGTGCTCACCCTCCTCGGCGCTGCCTTCTCTCGTGACCAGCCTGAAAAGATCTACATTCAGGATCGCATGAGGCAGACGATGAGTGATATTGTCAAGGCTTATATTGAGGAGGAGGGATCTTTCTACCTGTGCGGTCCCACTTGGCCGGTGCCGGATGTTACTGCTGTGTTGGAGGAGGCGATTGCTACTGAGGCTAAGCAGAGCGGGCGGAAGGTTGATCCCAGGAAGGAGATTGAGAGGCTGAAAGAGGACGGAAGGTATGTGTTGGAGGTGTACTAAGTTGCCGTTTTTGGACATGTCATTTTAGCGAGGGTAGTTTTGGTAGATACAAAAAGGCGTTGTTTATTTTTGGTTTGCTTCATCTTGGGATATCTTTCCCCCCTGAATTGATGATGGATGGTGTTGTTGCTGTTGAACGGTGCGGGGGAATCTCCACTCGGTGGGCCATGATCTGCAGCTACCCCAACCCCGGATAATTGGTGGCCAATGGTATTACACAAAGAAGACGCGGAAGACGCCAGCCGGAGTGTGGGGTAAACCGGGCTTGTTTGGAGGAGGGAGAGGGGGGGGTGGAGGGGTGGACTTGGGACGACCTCGGGCCTCGCCGCTTTGCATCGCATGCAGGAACTGGAACCTACATCATCACTTATTTTGTCTCCCATTTAAATAGGTCTTGTCTTGGTTGGCCATTGGATGTATTTGTCGCCTTTTGTGACCGTTTACTCACGCGTGCCTTTGAATAGGTAAGCTTTTGGAACCATCACCATGTCCGGCGCTATCCGAGCCCTGCCCAACGTGAGTTCTTTATCGTCAAGGTCATGAATCATGGAAGGAGAACTGATGAGATGAACAGCGGGCAACCAAAGCCGCCTCCCTCCTCCGCACAATTCAATATACTCATCCCCCAAATTGCCCATGCCACTCCAACCCCGGCCATCACCACCACACCCAGCACCAACAAAGAACCCAGGTCACCCGCTTCGCGGATAGGGTTCAGAATGGCAGCAAGAGGGGATATGCCACCCCGTCTCAGGACCCTTCCAAGCTGAAGGAGTACGCCTTCGAAATGGCTGCCTCTTCCATCCGGTTCGGTCCCGGGGTGACGAGGGAAGTAGGCATGGATCTGAGCAACATGGGGGTCAGAAAGGTCGCCGTCGTGACAGACAAGACAGTGGACCAGCTGCAGGCGATGAGAGCGGTTCGGGAGGCACTCGACAGCCAGCCAGGGATCGAGTACAAAGTCTTTAACCAAGTCAAGATCGAGCCCAAAGATTATTCGCACGTCCCTCCCCTTTTCTCCCCGCCTTCCCTCACTAACCCCCTCCCAGCATCAAAGAAGCCATCGCCTGGACCCTCCCGTACAACCCGGACGCCTTCCTCGCCGTCGGCGGCGGCTCCGTAATCGACACCGCCAAGCTAATGAACCTCTACTCCTCCTACCCCGAAGCCAACTTCATGGACTTTGTCAACGCCCCGCTCGGCCTCGGCCGCCCGATAGACCGCAAGCTAAAACCCCTAATCGCCATTCCAACCACGGCCGGAACCGGCTCCGAAACAACCGGCACCGCCATCTTCGACCTCGCATCCCGCAAGGCGAAAACAGGCATCGCCCACAGAAACCTCAAACCCACGCTTGGGATCTGCGACCCCCTCAACACGGCAACCATGCCCTCGGCTGTTAAGGCCGCTTCCGGTCTGGACGTGTTATGTCACTCCCTAGAATCATGGACCGCAATCCCCTATTATGAACGCACACCCCGCCCTACAAACCCCATTTTACGGCCGGCATACCAAGGCTCGAACCCCATTTCCGATATTTTTAGTTTGTCCGCGCTGAGGTCAACGGTCAAATACCTCCCCCGCGCGGTCAGAGATCCGGAAGACACGGAGGCACAGTCGGAGATGCTCCTCGCTGCCACCCTTGCCGGTGTCGGGTTTGGCAATGCAGGTGTTCACCTCTGTCATGGGATGTCGTATCCTATCTCGGGGCAGAACAAGGGGTATAAACACGCCGGTTATGACGTCAGCGATCCGATTATTCCCCATGGGGTCAGCGTGGCGGTGACTGCGCCTGCGGTGTTCAAGTTTACGGCGGCGAGTAACCCTGATCGACATCTCCAGGCGGCGGAGGCGTTTGGGGTTGATGTGAGCAATGTCAAGAGGGAGAGCGCGGGAGAGGTGTTGGGCGAGGCGATTAAAAAGTTTTTGGAGGAGCTGGGGGATCAGCCCAGGGGGTTGGGCGAGCTGGGGTTTGAGAGGAAGGATATTGAGGGGTTGGTCGAGGGGACGATACCGCAGGCTAGGGTGCTGGTTTTGGCTCCCGGGTTGGCGAAAGAGTTGGAACAGGAGAGGGAGGAGTTGGGGCAGCTGTTTGAGGAGAGCTTGAAGCATTAGGGCAGGGGAAAATGGAAATGTGAATTGGGCAAGTAGGTGAAGCAAGTGGGATCTTGAGATGATTTATGCAATCGAATCATGGAACTTGAAACAACATCACAGAGTCGCCGGTTTGATACCAACTACCGCATCTCTTCTTGACATTCTCCATCCGACAGTATTTTCCACGTCATATATATATCACACTATGTAACCCCCATCTACCGCGTCTCTAGTCAAGAATCCCTTCCCATCAACCGCTCCAAAATGGACCAAACACACTCTCCTTCTACCCAGTCTTCAGCGGCCAGCTCTTCCACTTCGTAGCCCACCCGTCACTCCCAACCGTCACGGCCTGCGGCCACAACTTTGCAAAAATCTTCCAAAACAAGTTGTCAGATTCGATCCCCCCCACCCGGTCCCGATTGAAAGCAATGTCCAACTCCCGGATGGTCGTGCCTCCCAGCCCCCTGTTGTCAAGAAAATACGTCCTCTGAAGTCCACGCCCCCATCGATCGAGCTCGAGATTGCTTCGAGAACCAGCTAGCCAGAACGACCCGTCCCACAGGAGATGGGGTATCCAGAACAATTCAAAGCCCCGGGCTCTTAGTAGCATTGTTTTCAGTTGGCAGGTGCTACCGCTGGCGCAGCTGGCTTGGATGATGGTGTGAAAGATGGCTTTGGCCAAATCAGAATCCACGGCGGCATTCACCATAGCTTCCATAATGTGGCCATTGGTGTAATAGCGCCCCAACTTACCAGGCGCAAGCTTTCGGCCGAAACTGTTCTGAAAATGGGACGTGGCAAACGCAGGGCCTGATGGTGGTCTATTGCGAATCACGGATCTCGAGGGCGAGGCATCCAACTCCAACGACAGCCTCTTTAGCATCTTGAAGCTACCACCGATAGCTCTATATCGATCAACCTCATCCCTATCGCCTATCGACCGCTTCACCGAAATTGACAGGTCCTCAACAGCAGGGTAGCGGTTGCCCAGCTCGATGATCTGTTGCTTTGCTGGGGGCGGGCCCAAGTTATGTCCATCCGCGGCATATTCGTGCGATACAGGTGCAAGCCACAACCTTTTGAGTCTGTGATTCGGAAGCCCCGAGATGTTGCCGTCATGCCCGGCTAGTGAGACGACCCCGTGGTTCCATCCAAGCAGATGCAACCTTTTCAGCTGCGCCAGGGTGCTTAGAAAATGTCTGGCCGCTTTGTAATAGTCGACTGCCTCCAAGTCTTCCTCCCTTAGTGCTCTGAGATGGAGGGATAGCGACGTCAGCAAAGGGAAGCTCGGTGCCGAGAGGCTCTCGATTGCGTCTTGGCGAAGAGGCGCCAACAACGTCAGGCTTTCAAGCGCAGACATATCGATGCGAGCTCGCCATTCGGCAACATGTCTCTTTTCAAAAGGTTCACCTCTTTTCATGTCACTTCTCGAACTGCAGGGCCGCGAAAGTTGAAGGTTTCGAAGGGGAAGAAGCCGAGTTTCTTTCCCAAGCGCATTCTCACAACTTTGTTCTGCCCTGAAAATGAAGGGATGGTCTCGTGGGACTGGTTCGGGATAGTGACACTTGCGAAGGTCGCGCAGGTTGGGTGCCAACCCTTTCGTCGTTAACATCTGATAAACTGCCTCCACCTGGGGGCATCGTTCAACTGGCCGTGCGTATGGTTCCAGGCACTCGGCGGGAGACAACCAGATGCTGTAAAGACTTGATGACCTGATGAGCGCGAGCTCGTGGGGGTCTTTCACCGTCCAATTGTCGAGACTTCGCAGATGCCAGGTTCGCAAATGGAGGCGTGCAATTCGCTTCTCGTGCACTACCAGCAAAAGGGAGGGTGGGAACTGGCTAAGACACTGAAACACGAGATCCGTTAGACCCGAGAGCCGTCGAACCAGCTCGACGACCGGTGTCCAAACGTGATCTGTTTGGTACATGTAGTCAAGAGAACTTGTGCTCGGGATGTCGCGAACGTCGTGTCCGAATTCGAAATCGGCACCCATAATCTTGCTCTGCTCGAGCTCCCATTCGGTGTCGTCTCTCAGCTTGGCAGGAAGTTGCCTTTCGAAGAGACTCCAGATCTTAGGCAGGGCTTGGTCTGTCGGAAAATCGTGGGGTGTTTGAACAAGCGGCACAAGACTGTAACGACGCTTTGAATTTTGAATCAGGGAGATGTTGCGAACCTTACCCCAAGCCTCATGACGGAGGAGAAGGGCTTCACATTCTGATACTTGTCGAGCGAGTCGAGATGGAGTTGAGACGTAAAATATGATGGTATGAAATAGACTGTCCTTCGCGCCTGCATGGGAACTTCTGCTGGTCTGGGCCAAGTTCCGAAGGCTCTCCAAGTCGTCATCAGTTCGGAGGTGTTCACAAATGAGAGTCTTGAGCTCCACGGGAAGCCCATCAAACGTAGCGCTCCCCATGTTGAACCGTCGAGCTTGCTGTTTGAGATAAGATGTGGGAGAGTGAAAAGTTGAAAATCGCAGCCGAGTTCGCAGCCCACTTCGCAGCCACGCAGGAGGATATTTAACAGCGGAAAGTTTGGGATGGAGCGAGCTTTAAGGGCCCGCGTGATGCTCTCTGTGTGGCAACCGCTAACAACGTGATAGGCGGTGCCTAAAAGTTTAATCGATTGAAACCTACGTTATCGCAATCTCTGTCTCTCCGTCGCTGCCTCGTATCCCATTTGACTTCACGCCTCGCACGTCAATCAGAAAATAAACACTAACCCCAACATCACCCCATTACACGAGCGCAGGAAAGAAGGCCAGGGACCCCAAGGTGTTTCTCAACGGTGGCCCTTGAACTCACCTCCTGAGAGCACCCTGTTCAGCTAGTTTTTCTCCTTCCTCCTCAGGCTCCCGCAACATTCGAAATAGGCTTTTCGACACCGGTGATAGTAACAGCATCTGGCAGTCACATATACATCATTGAATAAACAACCATCCAAGAATTGGCTAAAAATACCACCACTTTTAACATCTCCTTCCCCCGCGCTAATCATGACCCTACGCAAACCCAAACCCCCTCGCATTCTCCAACGCCATCCCCAACCTCTCCCTCAACGTCTCCTTATCCTTATACTCGGGCAACAGCAACGTGCTATAACAAGTATAGCTCGTCGGCAACCTCCCCCTGTTCCCCGTCCCCCCCGGTCCCAGCTCATCATTCTCCACCCCGTTCTTCTGAATATTAAACACCACATACTTCATCCCCCCGACAGGAACCCGATCGCTCGCCGTCACAAATTCGAGCAACTTTCTCTTCATGTCCTCGTCATACCTCTTCACAATCGACCAAAAATCTTTGATTGTCCGGTGGTGTTCATCATAACCAGTGTATTTCGCGTAGCGTTTTAATTCAGAGATGTCAATTTCCTGCACACCCTCGACGAGTGACTGAAGGAGCGAGGGTGTGAGGAGGGATAAGGATTTAGGCTGGAGGCAAGTGCGGAACCCACGGGCGAAAGCTTCGAACTGAGGGCGGACAGAGACCGTAGTCAGGTAGCGAATGTAATCAGCAATGTACTCGTCCCTGTTGTGGATAGTGACTGGCTTGGACTCTTCTTCCGGGTTGTACTCATGGGGAGCCGGATTGCACGAGGCGTGGGAGGCAGTTTTGGAAAACTGAGGCCACTCCTCCTCCGAGGGGGTGTGGGTGTCCCAATCACCGCCTTCTTCGTCACCCCCCGAAGCAGACGGCCGCATCTCCCTGATGACGTGGTGGCCAAAGGCCGACGTGGAAAAGTCGTACGTGATGCAAAGGTCTTCGAGCTTTCCTTTCGAGCCATTGTCATCCCACTGCTCAACTTCCGTAAGCGAGCTTGCAATATCTGGCCAGCCGTCGGCGATATGGCGGAGCTTGTCTACCGGCTTGCCAAGTAGCTTGCGGTAGAGAGCCTTTGGAAACGTCACCGGCAACGTCAACCCGTTGTAGACCGCAAGAGAAACAAGCAGCCCAATCAGCTCAAACTTCCACTCGTCCTCCAGCGACCCAGGCACAAACCACGCCATCCGACTTCTCTCATCGACCGTAAACGCACCATAATCCGGGTTCAGCGCCTCAGCCAGCGCCAAGCGGAAAAACTCCTGCTGAACACCACCCAAATCAAACCCTTCCTCTCCCGTAGACTCCCCAAGACGGACCTTGAGCGGCCTCAACAACTCCCTCTCCTCCCTCCTCCACAACTGGTTAAACGCGTCCTCGATAACAGCTTCCCTACGGATATCGAGAACCAAGTACTTTGTAGCCGCCGCACGCAACCGCTCCGTCAGCACCTCCTTGTGATGCCGCGTCAAGCTGGAGCGTGAAGCAATCACGTCAATCCTGTCCTGTAACGATGTCGACTCCTCGTACGACCTGCTCATGCGCGAAAAGTTGATGGACCGGAAATAGGTAACCAGAGTAGAAGGGTTGAACAGAAACGGATAGTCGAGAAGGTGGATCTTTTGTCTTGTTGACACGTGTGATAACCACGCGATGGGCATCTGGACTGTGTCGAGCCTCTCGGCAAAGTACTCGGAGCGGAACTGAGCATCGCCCAGCAAGAGCTCATGACGTTTGTTGTCTACAGGTCTGTCAGCATTTGACCAGGTCAATCTTCACAATAGAGGTGCTCACATATAGCCTGCATCAACGCCAGTGCGCCACCAAAAGGTCCATCCCCCTTGATCACAGGGGAGCCACTCCAGTCGCTAAGCATGACAGCCCTCGCCCAGTCCAGCAAAAGGATCGGAACACGGGTCTCATGCAGAGCCCGCTCATTGAAAGAAAAGTCCAAGACGTAATACACCGCACCGGCATGAAGAAAGTTTAGTTGAGAGAAGAGAGGCGCCAGCACATCAGGCTCTGGCTGCGAGTCATCACCGTCTAGGTCTCCATTGGATTCGCACAGGGCATCAAAATATCTCCTGGTGTTGATGGCGGTAAACAGCCGTCGAGCCAGCCTCAGGGCCAAGTCGTCCGTGAAGGCGTCCTCGTACTGAAGACACAGCTCCGTGGGCTGGTCGGCAATGGCACCGCTACGAGTGAGGCTCAGACCGTGCGACCGGATTCTCGACATATCATACAGCCGTTGGGTAGCCTTTTCTGGGTCAGATGGATCCGGTGTTATGAGTGGCGCAGCGGCAATCAAAGCGTGGAGGCATATCGACATGAGACGACCCGCCTGTGTGTTTGAAAGAGATTCCTTGTCCCTGAATAGCTTCGCCGTCGGGGATCGGGGCGCTAATAGCGACTCTGGAGGCGCAAATAGGCTTCCCGCCGCCATCCAGAGACTGTGGAAAACCAGGCTTGGGGCAACCCGGGTCATCCTGAGCATGCAGTACCATAGTGTGTGAGAATCATAGAGTTGTCCTTGTTTCGAGAACGATTGAACAGCGAGTTGTGGATCGCTGAGGACGTTGAAGAGAGTCTGTTCAATGAACAACTTCCACTCTAGTTTGAAGTTTGGGCACCCAGAGGCAAGCTTCTTGCGCTTGAGCATCTTGCCCCGGCCGGGGTGTCCGTTGTGAAACTTGGTGACTGATGGCGGCTCAAGCATGTGTTCCTCTGCTGTTCCATCGTCTTGCAGGACATCGCAGATGAAGTCGACAACGTCGGCATGTAGCGTCGATAGTGCCTGCGGAAGAACGCTTTCGTCGCCAGACTCTGGCTCTGGGTGAACCATCTCTCCGGATCCGCTGCTGCACGATCTGTCAGAGGACCACCCTGAGGGAACGCCTAGCTGCTTTGGACCACTTGAATCAGAAGTCCTCGTCCCGTCTAGCTGACTTCGCCCAAGATAGTTCTTCAAATCAAGGGTTTTCGGCGGCGGCATCTTCTCCAAAGCAACATGGTCAAAGTAGCCAGCCGATGAGAGCTGCGATATTGGTCTGGAGAGTGCCGACCCTGTTGGCTTCGGCCCCCTTGGCCCCCTATCTGTGCTACCAGAGTTTCCGCGTGGCGATCTGAGTAGCCCAGGGTAGGGGTCATCGACCAAAGAGTCTTGTGTGTAAGGGTCAATGGAAAGCTGCCGCTTAGGCACAGGAGGATTTGATGTCCTCAACTTGGCGTTGGAGTTGCGGCGGGGGTGTGTAGAGCGAGAAACGGCCGGCGGGTCGCGAGAGTGGCGATCATCTTTTGAATCTGAGTCTTTCCCAAGTTGTCTGCCCTTTGGTAGCAGTCGACTGTTAGCCGACGCACCGTTGGGCTGGACCCACGACTCCCTGGTCCGTGGCTTCCCCCCGTTATCCCGGTTAGCCTCTGCTTTTACTGCTTCGGCATCACGCCGGTCTGGAGCCGACTCCTCCTGGAAAGCTTTTGTCCTTTGCGTCATGTCCTCTAGCGCAGCCGGCGTGAGCCACTCCAACATCTTGAAAGCCACAGTACCAAAGACGTTGGCCGCAAATGATCGGTGGTCTTTGCTCACTGGCTCCTCCACCACCTCAAACCCAGGTTGCCATTTTTGTTTTGGACTTTCCACATCTTTCGCAATATTCAGTGACCTGCCTTTTTCCCTCGCATCTCCCGTTGATGGCCTGCCGTTATATCCATTCGTCCGTGATGACACCGGGCGAGAATTGTTGAGCTGTGGTTTCGGAGACGTTCCCGTAACACGATCGGTGTGCAACCGCTGCTTGGGCACAAACAGGAGCGAGTTGAGCGCAGCCGGCGGGGCCTTTGGGGTTCGCAGGTTGGGACACAGGCCATTCTCAGGGTTATCTTGGCTAGCGAGGTAAGTAGCCAGCGTTCTCGCGCTCGTTGTGTTGTATCGTTTGATCGGGGCCTGGCCAGCGGCTCTCTTCCGGCAGGTGAAGCAAGTCGGCGTTACGCAATGTTCGGCGCCGCAACCTTCGCGGAGCTGGACGATATACCTGGGCAGCAACAATCGTCAGCCAAGACATCTAGGTCCATTACCCTATCATGACATACCTCTGAACTATTTGCTGAAAGTTGTGTCTTCGACTCGCTTTGTGGACGGCATAGACACGCTTCGGGTTGTCGATGTCCTCCACCAGGTCCTTCAGCTCGCTGGGCGCATCGCATGGTAGTCTCGCGAAGGGGGCCTCCTCCCAGAGCCCTGCCAAGACGTCGAGGTCATCGGTGCTGCTGTAGCTGTGGCTGCTTCCGGCCGCTGGCCGCATGGTATCTCGAGTCATGACATGGAAATCGATGGTTGTAGAGTTGGGTGGTAGGAAGTGGACGTCGGGTTGATATCGGGATGGAGGATGCAGAGGGCTGGCTGCTTGTGGTGCGGTGGGCAAAGCGACAGCGGGGAGGGCGAGACACAGGCGATGATGGGACACGGCAGGAGGTGCAAGGGTTGGCTCAAGTCCTGAGCGATCAGTTTGGCAGCGGATGTTCTCTGAGCAACGTGAACAGGTAGCTAGTTTGAATGCTGGAAACAGAAGACGTTAGAGGGTTGAGGATGGTGAATGGCTCTCGGTCAGCGACTGCGGTGCGGCATTCGCACTGGACCCTCGCTCAGCTCGCTCGCAGCGTTACGCTATGCGGCCTTGGCAATCTGGAACCCGTGCAGCGGTCCCACCTCTAAGCCAAGCCTGGAGCCTTGGCAACAACCGCACGGTTTGAGTAACAGCACCTGTGAGAGTACGCCTGACTCGGCAAACGCCAGACTTGCTTGCCACCATCAGAGAGCTTCGAGAGAGTTCCAATCTGGGACTCATTTGAACGTTGTGTTTGGAGCGTTGTCGCTGCAAGGTTGAAAGCTGCAAAGATCAGGTCGGGTGGGGTTAGCTCAATCTGCTAGAGTTCCGAATCCATGGGTTCAAGGTTTGCTGGAAGTGCTTGCAGACTTCAACCGCTATTTTGACACTGCAAACAGCAACTAAACACGAGACCCTGGCCATCTGATTTCGATTCTTCCCAGAGCTCGACAACTTTTGATTCTTCTCGTTGCATCCGTCTTTCCCATCCTACCACCATCACCATCTTATCTTCCTAACGCCTGTGGTGGGGGTTGAACAGTCGCCCTAGAAACAAGGTTACCCTGCGCCGCTATCAATTTCACACTGCCGAAGCTCAGCGCTCATCACTTTTCAGCCCGCGACAGAAGCCCACCGGACCTACCAAATCGAAGCGTGGGGAAGCACCGCGGCGCGCGCGACTTTGCAGGTTACCACACCAACTTTTTGCCCACCACTCCCGGAAAATCTACGCGCCCAGCCATTCCCCTCCATTCAACATGAACGCAACAGTCAAACGCAAGTTCAACGCCCTAGTCCAAGGCATAGGAAACACCTCCTCCCCTTCCTCCACTCCCACCGACAACACCAACAGCAATCACAACAACCCTGATTCCCCTCTTTCAACACCCGGCCTGTCACTATCCCGAACAATGACAGCAGAAGACATCCTCTCCAAAAAGCGACGCGTCAACGGCGGGTCAACTCCCACACCCCCATCCCGATTCGCGACACCGCAACCCCAGCGCTCGACAATCCTGAATTCCAGCCCGGGAAGTTCGATTCGTTTGAGCAGTAGTAATAATGGAGGGCCAACAATGATATCAAACGTCATGCTCAGGAAATTCAGCCCAGCTCCACGAGGAGGGGCCTCAGCAAAAGGGGACACAACTAGAGAAAAGAAACAACCGCCTAAATACTGCCCCGCCGACAGAGGGGAGTTACTCAGGAGACTGGCCACGTTTCAGGAGCTGACGGATTGGACCCCAAAACCGGAGCGGATATCAGAGATTGAGTGGGCGAAGAGGGGGTGGGTTTGTCTCGGCAAGGAGAGGGTGAAGTGTACGCTCTGTGAGAGGGAGGTGACGGTCAAGATTGGGAGGGGGAGGGACGTCGAAGGGGAGGTGGGGAGGGAGATGGAGGCGGAGGTTGTGAAGAGGTATGAGAGTTTGATGCAGGGGGATGGGCACGGGCAGGGGTGTTTGTGGAGGGGAACGGGGTGTGACGATTCGCTGCTGAGGCTGCCGTTGCCGAACTCGAAGTGGGCGTTGACGGCTTTGCGGGAAAGGTATGATGAGTTGTGTCAGAGGAAGGACTTTTTGCCGTACGAGTTCAACTTGAGACTGCCGGAGGGGTTGGATTTGGAGGTGGTGGTTGGATATTTACCAAGGACGTTTTTTACGGAACCGGCACCAGCGGCAGAAGGGGAACAGCGGAGGGAGGGGGAGGTGAATAGGCCGGCGTTGGCGCTGGCGCTGATGGGCTGGCAGGGGTTGACGAACCCACGGTTGGGTAACGCGCCGATTCCTAACAGTGCGAGTTGCCATACTTGTTTGCGGAGGTTGGGGCTGTGGATGTTCAAGTCGCGGCAGATCAACCCTGAAACGAACGAGATATTGGAGCCGGCACCAATGGATCATTTAGATCCGGTAAGAGAGCACAGGTTCTTTTGCCCTTGGAAGAACGGCGAGGTGCAACGGAATCCAGGGGCCAAGTTACTACCAAAAGGAAGCAAGGAGAAGCCAGCTTGGGAAGTGCTTTTGGAGGTCCTGAAGAATGAGAGTTTTATCCGAGAAAGGGTGGAGGGAACGGCTGGAGGGCATCATGGGAGGAGTAAGAGCAGTGCTGCTGCTGTTGGGACGTCAAAAACACCTGAGAGACCACGGCCGACGACTGCGGGTGGCACACCGATGGCAGATGGGGAGGATGACCGGGATGTGCAGGAAGAGGATGAGGAGGCGAGAAAGAAGAAAGACCAGGATGTCATGAGCCGGTTGAGGCGGGTGAAAAGCTTGTTTAATACCAAGGGAGGGAAGTTGTCGAAGAGGCTGGGTAGTAGTAGGCCCGGGACTTCCGGATCAATCGCACCTGGGGAGTAACATGGAGGGCTGGCTATTTGTACGGACATGGAAGCGTTCTTGCTGATGAATCGTTTGGTATAGTTGCAGAAACAGCGTGAGGGCGTTATCGCGGTGTTTGTTGAGTTAATTGATGGCGGGATATCTCTGAAGTTATGCACAAAAGAATAGCTATACATACAGCTCCGGGTTGAAACTGCAGTAAGGAAAAGCCACGCGGTGATGTCGGTGTGATTTGAACTTGCTGCAAAATGTATCCAAGGCTCTCTTAGCCTCCGTCTAAGTACGTGTGATCATTTGGGTATCGCAGTTCGTAGCCGACATCTCATCAGCAACCTTGAACCTAGCCCTGAGAAGCCCGCATTTACACTCCCACTTGGTCAGTAAAACAAAACAAACCTCCTTCATATGTTGATCAGCTCATGCTAGGGCTGTGTGATCTGCGCGGCAGGAGAAGGGGTGATGTTTGGTGTATTGCCGGAAGAGGTAGCAGGCGGCACGGTTTCCTTGGGTATCATAGCCTGCGCGGGAGATAAGGCGGTTGATGTATGATTAAAAACAGACGCAGGAGGTTCCTGTGGCCTTGGCTCCGGCAAAGCCGCTGCCTTTCTATCGCGCTGGCTTTTGCGGTGAAGCCACAGTACCAGAGCGAGGCCGAGGCCGAGAGCAGCTATCCCGCCGATGACGGTGTCGGCGATGGCGGCAGGGGATATCGATGATCCCATTTCGTTGTTGCCACTGCCGCCGTCGCTGCCACTGCGCGAGATGCCTGGAGTGCTGTCTGGAGTGGTGTCAGCTCCCGCAGTTCCCCCTCCAGCGGTGGAAGTTGTCGCACCAGAAGCACCACCCGTGGTTCTAGTCCTCGGAGGAGAAATGGGAAGTTGCGATACGGGACTGGGGAAGCAACGCGGCTATTTCAGGGTCCTCACACAGGCCGCCATCTCCAACACCAGTGGTACGGTGCACGCCGACATACTCAGGAGGGCAGCAGAAATACCCGATGGCCCAGGGCTGTCCTTGTAGAGAACCCAAGTCGAGTTGGCGCACGTTGTCAGGCTGTCCACGGCGTTTTGCAGTCGCTCTCTAGGTACATGGTCGGTAAGCTTTCCATTACCCCGACTTGAGGATTCTAAACACATACCCCCTGGACAGCAGTAGTAGTTGAATCTGACGCTAAGGCTATTTGTGCTGTAGCAGGTATCGCCCGAGGGACAGCATTGAGTGACACTTCGGGACCAATTCTTCTTGCACGCCACCGGAGCGTGGTCCGGGCATGTTCCATCGTCTAAGGAAGGTATCATGCTATGGGGAATTCCCCCTCGATATTTTTGACGGGGCGTGATCCTCTGGGGGACAGGCTGAGTTTGTTGGCGCGACATGTTGACATTTGATAACAAAACTGGAACTGATGAACCCCTCGGCTTCTCGTGATGTTAGAGCCAACGGAATTTCAAAGAAGCAGAAAACTGAGGACTCCCCGCTTGAACTTCCAGACTGGTGGGTGTCCAAGCTGAAAACTCGCGTGATCAGGCTCTGGCTGAGAATCGCTTCCCTCAACTGGAAGCAGAATGAATGACCAAGCCAATAGCGCTGCTTATTGCATTACTTATCCCCCAACACCGAACCAAACACCCTCGTCACAAAATAATTGAGACACTAAGGTAGGCTAACATGCCTTGAAGGATAGTCCATAGGCCTTTAAAGATAGGTAGTTTATAGGCACTTCAAGATAGTTGATAAACCTTCAAGGATAGTTAATAGGCCTTAGAAGATGGTTTAAAGGCCTATTAATTAACTTTTAAGGTATAAGGTAGTTCCCGGTATAGTATGGGTTAACCTACTTTTGTGTCTCGATTATTTTGTGGCAAGGGTGCCAAACTAAAGGTCAACCAGTGGAAGAATGAGACGTGGTTACAGCTCTCGGCGCAGAGCGTGATACCTATTCATGATAAACAACGGCACCAGTGTGACGGGCCATAGCGACGGTAGGCGAGTTGTGATGATGGGTCTCAAAGAGGTTGAAGAGAGATTCAAGTCTTCTGCCAAAGATAGGTTGTGGCACAGTGGCTAAAAAAAGTGCCGAACTCTTAAAACGGAAGGCGACGAAGTGCCGTGGTAAAATTTGCGAAATGCTTGCGCTGCGTCAGCGACAGCCTTGCTGAAGACATGCTCTTACACAAACAACAAAGATATTGTCAACAGATGCCCAATCATGTGAAGACCAAAAAGACCAACTCATGCAACAAACATGTAACCATTTCTCAGTTCTAAAACCCCAATGCACAAACAAAGTGGCACACCCCCTCTATCAAGCGCTCTAACGCAAGTATGTAGCCGGATGAGGCGCCTTCTCCTTGATGCCCAGTCTCGCCTGAAGCATGCCTCTGTCCTTCTGGTCCTTCCACTCTTGCTTCTTACCCTTCACCACCACAGCCCTGTGCTTCTCCAGCTCGCCAGCAGACCTGACACCCAGACCGGCAACGTCTCTGCCCACCACCGCTCTCCCCCTGGCCTTGGGGTTGGGATCCCGCAGCGGGACAACCGTCTGTCCATTCCCATCCTCGTCCACGTCCATGACACCCTGACCTTGCTCGTTGGCCTTGAGCAACAACCTCTCGGCCCTCTCCTCTGGCGTGGGGTATTTATACAGATTTTGCCTGTAGTACTTGTTGAGCGATCTGTGACCAACAGCCTTCCCACTGCCGAGGTGTAACTCATAATCATCATAGAACACCGCGTGACTCTTCTTGCTGTGAGCATGGAACCCATCTGCCTGCTGGTGCGTCCTTGGTGTGCTTGACGAGTGGTGATGATTCTTTGACAGCCTCTCATACTGGTGAAGATGTAGCTCCGCGGGAACGGCGTGCAAATCATCAGAATTCAGAGACGACTCGTCAGAATCCGTCTCCCATCCTTCTCCATTCCCATCCTCCATGATCTCATCACCATTCTCGTCGACTGTAACTGTCCTGGTTGCGCGGTGACCACCAAGTTTGGCACCACCGTTCGTGTCAGCATCCTCCATCTCCTCATCCTCATCCTCCCACTCTCCCTCTTCGTCATCAGAATAAGTGGCGCGGAAGTCGTAGAATTCACCAATTTCGAGCTGTTCATCTTCGGTTGTGAAAGGAATTTGGACGTGGGCTTTGTCGCGCATGTGAGTCTGGACGGCGTAGGTGGTGTTTCTCATCTTGGAGCAGGTGATGCACTCGTTGAGGTCATACACGCGCTCTTGGAGGTAGTTTATCAAGCCCTCGAGATCAACGAGGTATTGCTTCTCCGGGATGAACATGCCGTGGGTCTTTTCCATGTGCTGGGCGTTGAGCTGAGGATTCTCGGACTCAAGATTGCAGAAAATACAAGTATTGATTGTCCGGGGAGGACCAGCTTGTTGTTGTTGTGAAACCACTGGGGTAGCAGAGGAAGGGGTAGCGGATTCCTCCTCCTCTTCACTGGGTGTCTCTGACACGGGGTGCTCAGTCTTGTGCTGGGCAGCGGCTGACAAGTGAGGGTTGGAGGGACGTCTAAGTGGGGAGACGTTCTCGTTCTCTTGCAGCTGGGTGTTCTTGATACCCTCAACCACCTCGTTAAACTCCTCCTCCGCGTCCGAATCAACCACAGAGTCTGTAGGGGCTGGCTCGCCAAGCGAGAAGGTCATGGAGCTGGCATCGTCAGGGATCTTGCCCTGTGGGCGAGCCGCCAGAGCAGCGACCTTGGCCTTGTGCTTGGAGCTGGTAAGATGGTTCTTGTATGCGCCCTCGCTGAAATAATTTTTCTGGCAAACTTCGCAAGCTCTCTCGAAGCCGGCCTTGTCCGCCTGCGCAGTGGTGGCAGCGCGGGCCTGGAGGACCTTTTCGGTGAAAATTTCCGAGGAGATGGGGGGCAGCGAGGCGACACGGCGCTTCAGGTTGTAGCGACTGTGGAAAGTAAATGTAAGCCTGTGAACTCCATGCGCCAACATGATATGACAGGGAGATAACTTACTGCCAGTCACTGCGCATATGACCCCTCTGCAAATCGCCATTGCGGAAGGCGACCTGGCAGGTATTGCAAGTGTAAGGATGCGAAGATCCAATATCTGCGCCAGGAGCAGCGCCTGAAGCAGCACGACTACCACTAATGGTCGCCATAGCTGAAATATATCTCGTTTCTCGAATCGGAGGTGATCGCAAGTTGGTGGTGGTGATGTCGCGCTCGACGGATGGCGGGGTTCTGGTCGAGTCAGAGTTTTGATGTCTCCTTTCTTCGGCCAAACCTGTCCGGGGAAAAAAAGAGCAATGGGCACTTCGATTTGTAGGTGCTGCGTGAGAGAAAGCAAAGATTCTCTCAGGATGTTTGAGGGTCGAGTGATGAATAATACACAACCACAGGCAAAAGGGGTATTAATAAGAGGCGGCCCGTCAGAACAGTTCCTCGCAATTTTCTGGTGGCGGTCCCCAATAGTGGGGGGTGGTCGTGTGGGCAACTGTGGACGTCACAACTCCTGGCAATGCGGGAAGCCCTGGGTCCAAGAGCCCCACTTTGTTTTCTAGAAGTGAACTGTGACCACCAGTTGCTCCGGTCAAGTCACTTGTTTACTCAAGATGAAGATGTCTTTTACGAGGCCCATACAGGTGGTTTCAACCTTTGGCTCAGTACTCGATTGAAACGGGCCTCGCCTAGTTGACCGGCTAGCTTTCTCCTCATTACAGAGCCAGTTGGTTACCTAATGTGGCCACCTGTGAGGAAGATGTGACACACCTCTCACCCACCAAGACAACGACCAAGACTGCGCAAACCATAATTGCATCCTTCTTACTAACATCATCACGTGTGAGTCAGACGCCGAGAACTATCGTCAGTCAGTTGATATGAAACAGAATCATGGCTTCGCAAAGGATATTTCGTTCACAACCATAACCCCAACTTCAGTCTCCTATTCTAACATCAGGTCTGTCACAAGATGCTTTTTGCTCGCCAGATTCAAGTTCACTTGTGCAATGAAAACACACTTGCAGGCTACAATCACTATTCCAACCAGCCAACTCAGTTTCGTGCCGTGAATGAATATCCAATGTGACAGGCTTTGCCCAATCTTTAGACCTGCTGATCTCAGCGTCATAATTCACTGGTTGAGCCTCCCAAGTCCCCGAGTCTCGTGTCTTGAGGTCTCCATTCTCAGCTCCTCAACCTCACAAAGCTCACCAAGACCCCCGTAGTCCAACAATCACCTACCAACCATCAATCCATACCGCAGCTTCCTCTCCCTCCTTCACACCATGCCAACTCCCCAAAGTCCCACCCCAGCCAAAAAGAAAGTGCTTACTCAACCCAACAGCACCACCACAGCCAAAAACAACAAAAGGAACGGGCTCAATCGGGATTCGAACCCGAGACCTCGCACAAGGCTTGAACTGGTTTCCCAAGTTCTGGATTTGTAAAGAAAACCCGAAGCGCGAATCATACCACTAGACCATTGAGCCTGTGTTGTTTACTTTACACAAACATAGCCATCATGATTGATCAATCCCCAAACCACCTTGTCACATCAAACACTCCCAAGTCCCAACCCACCACACTCCAACCAACACATAGCCTCTATTTTGTGGCAAAATTGGCCCAAATCTTCAAGAGTTCACAATCAAATGAAGAAGTGAGGCAAGTGATGAGTGGATTAAGTGATAGATCAGCGATATGCCGGTGTTGGTGAGGATGCACCCAAAGACGCAGCGACAACGGTTGATATCTTCGAGGCTGTCACATCATCACCACGATGCTACCTGCATCAAAGCCATGGCCAACCACTGTTCTTTCCTGCAATTACGAATGTCAGACGTCCGGTTCCAAATAGCCTCCATCATGCTCTTTGATGACATCGTAGCACATCCCATCGAACATTGCCAACTTCCATTCAACCAAGATTCAGCAGACAACATTCACATCATCATCTTGGGACATTCAAATGTTTCAAGTAGGTTCTTTTTCTTTATACTTCATACATACTTTACAAAAGCCCGCGATGCGCCCGCCACCTACTACAACCGACACACACCAGACAATCACAGAATATATGCCCATCCTTGCTTCCTTCCTATGACCATGATGAATATACCCATTTCACCCAACCCGAAAATCACAAAAGACCACATCCACAAACATATGACACATCATCTCTTCGAGGACCTTCATTATGTGATGATGATTCTCTCTTTTTTCATCGAGCCATCAAAAAAACGCGAAAAAACATTGGGGAATCTATGATGCTACGTTACTCCTTTAAAGCTCGTCATGGCCAGCGGGCTCGTCGTCCTCGCCACCGGCACCACCGGCGCTGTAAAGCTTGCTGGTGATGGGGTAAGCAACGCCAGACAGCTTCTCCTTCTGCTCCTCGAAGTCCTCGGTGGAGGCAGTGGCGGCATTCTCCTCAAGCCAGTCCTGGGTCTCCTTGACGGCGTCGAGGATGGTCTCCTTGTCCTCCTCTGAGATCTTCTTGCCCATACCCTCCTCATCGTTGACCTGGTTCTTCAGGGAGAAGGCGTAATTCTCAAGACCGTTGCGAGCCTCAATGCGCTCACGGGTGGCCTTATCCTCCTCGGCGTACTTCTCAGCCTCGGCAACCATGCGGTCAATCTCCTCCTGGGTAAGGCGGCCCTTGTCGTTGGTGATGGTGATGGACTCGGCCTTGCCAGTGCCCTTGTCGTGGGCGGAAACCTTGAGAATTCCGTTGGCGTCGAGCTCGAAAGAGACCTCGATTTGGGGAACGCCACGGGGAGCGGGGGGGATGCCAGTAAGCTCGAACTTGCCGAGGAGGTTGTTGTCCTTGGTCATGGAACGCTCACCCTCGTAAACCTGGATCAAGACCACGGGCTGGTTATCAGCGGCGGTGGAGAAGATCTGGCTCTTGCGGGTAGGGATAGGGGTGTTGCGGGTGATGAGCTTGGTCATGACACCACCAGTGGTCTCAATGCCGAGAGTAAGAGGGTTGACATCCATGAGAACGATTTCCTCAGTACCCTCCTCACCGGAAAGAACACCAGCCTGGACAGCAGCGCCGAAAGCGACGGCCTCATCGGGGTTGATGCCCTTGGAAGCCTTCTTGCCACCAAAGAACTCCTCAATGAGGGCCTGGACCTTGGGGATACGGGTAGAACCACCAACAAGAACGATGTCATCGACCTCGCCCTTGGCAACCTTGGCGTCCTTGAGAACCTGTTTCACAGGCTCGAGAGTCTTGCGGAAGAGGTCGTTGTTGAGCTCCTCGAACTTGGCGCGGGTAAGGGTCTCAGAGAAGTCCTTGCCGCCGAAAAGGGACTCGATTTCAATACGGGTGGACATCTGGCTGGAAAGGGTACGCTTGGCCTTCTCGGCCTCACGCTTGAGCTTACCCATGGCCTTGGCGTCAGTGGTGACATCAACACCGTGCTTTTTGTTGAAGGTCTTGGCGAAGTGGTTAATGACACGCTGGTCGAAATCCTCACCACCAAGATGAGTATCACCGGCAGTAGCCAAAACCTCAAAGACACCCTGGTCGATGGAGAGGAGGGAAACATCGAAAGTGCCACCACCCAAGTCGTAGACAATGATCTGGCGCTCGCCATCGGTCTTATCAAGACCGTAAGCGATGGCAGCGGCGGTGGGCTCGTTGACAATGCGAAGGACGTTGAGACCGGCAATCATACCGGCATCCTTGGTGGCCTGGCGCTGGTTGTCGTTGAAGTAGGCGGGAACGGTAACAACGGCGTGGGTGACCTTCTTGCCGAGATAGCTCTCAGCAGTCTCCTTCATCTTGCCGAGAACCATGGCGGAAATCTCCTCGGGGGTGAAGGTCTTGTCCTCACCATTGACCTTGACGGTGACGGCCGGCTTGTCATTCTTGGAGACGACCCTGCAAACGCAAGTTAGTGGTTGTCAGGAGCGACTCAAAAGTCATTGGGTACATACTTGAAGGGGAAGTGCTTGATATCAGTCTGGAGCTCCTTCTCAGAGAACTTGCGGCCGATGAGGCGCTTGATATCGTAGATAGTGTTGTAGGGGTTGGCGGGAGCCTGGTTCTTGGCGGCGTCTCCGACTAATCTCTCCTCATCGGTGAAGGCGACATAAGACGGGGTAATACGGTTTCCTTGGTCGTTGACGAGAATCTCGACCTTGCCCTTCTGCATCACACCAACGCAACTAGGGTCTAGTTAGCTTCCTGCTTCCCAAGTCTGCTTTTGCTCCCCCACACCCCGCACTGCCGATCTGTCAAAGTTGACACCGTGTCACAAGTGCTCGCAGTTGCGCCAAAGACCAGAGCAGCAGCGGCGGGGTGGTTCGAGAAATCGACGACGCCGTCGTTTGTGTAGAACTTACGAGTAGGTGGTTCCCAGATCCTGTAGAGAATGCTCGTTAGCAATTGTCCTGACCGCAAACCAAGGAGGGCTGTGGAGGGGTAGAACATACAATACCGATAACAGTGCCATATTCCGAGACATCGTCCGCTTTTACTTGCTGGACAAAGCCAGCAGAGAAGAGAAGGGCGAAAAACCCAATGATGCTGAGGCCGAGGGCCCAGCTCCGCGATCGACGTTCCATGCCGAAGGCTGTGTGTGTGACTGACGTGTAAAGAAAAGAAAACCTCTCGCTCTCCTGCTAGCAGGTGTGACAAAGAGTATGGAAAAAGGATGAATGCCAACTATGGGCTTGTCGTCAAATACCAATCCTACCAGCTGACCAGGTAAGAGAGGACGTTGATGTACCGGAGTGGTGGATCAATCGTTGAGATTGGGGAGAGGAAGAGGAAGAAGGAAGAGAGCAGAAGCTGACTTGTATCCTTAAATTTTCTGGTGGTGAATTGGGAAATCTGTCCTTATTCTGGGCTCTAGCCACCTCACACTTTAGCACTGGCCGCCAGCAGCCCGCGCCCGCCTTCCGGGCCTTGCAGGGCCTGCCCAATCGATTCACTTGGTTGGTTTGCCCCCGCTATTGCAACCTTCCATGGGAACAAAAGGTAGCGGTGACTTGCAGCCTTGAGCTGCTCCCACCAATTACCCCGCAGCTTGATATTCTCCCACGAGTCACTGTTACTTGAGCCTCCCCCGATTGTTCCTTTTTTGCCATCCATTCAACTGCACCTGAAGCGCGCCTAGAGCTCCGAAGCTCTCATCAGCACTTGCAAGATCATCCAATACGCTAGCTGATTCCAGATCTGTCTCTCTCTGTCCTCAACTACTTCCCCTACTTGATTCATGTGCTCCTCCAATGCTGTCCATATCCCATGTTTGCCTCTGTCTATTCACTTCACCCAAGTGTTGCTCCGACACTGCATTGCTCAACGTCCACCTGAAGCTTCTACACGATTCTGTCGTCCAACAGAAGCTTGGGGCATGGAACTGCAAGCTGTTCACTGGAGTTTCAATAACCCCACATATTGGCAACTCACGGACCATTCATCGGCACCAATCCCTGCCTGCTCAAGTGCCAGAGTGGCCTTTTCCCAAAGTTACGGCTTACGGCTATCCGCCTCCCGCTTTTGGTAGCGCCAAGACGCCCCACTTGTATCAACACCAAGCTGGATTGATTGATGAGGCGGCATGCCAATTCCAACGACATCTCTCTGTACTCAGGAAATACAACGTTGCTCAGCTCGAAGCATAGGATAGTTTTCTTGAAAAGCTGAGATAGTGTCTAATAATCTCCGCTCGTGGGGACTAATCTTTAAGGTGAAGAAGTCTTTTGAGGTTGTAAGATGTCTTCCTGCCAATTTCTAGATACCTCCGGCAACCTCCGACGGGCGAATTGTTTCGCCTTCTTGCAGTGGGCAGGGCCACTGTTCAGCGTACCTATCTTGCGTTGGCTTCGGGGTTTTTTTTAAAATCACTTACACTCACACTCATACTATCTAATGAAAACTGAGCTGCTGTCCAATGAAAGCTCAGATAATATCTAACATAAGTCCAAAGACTGGCTAGTAAAAGCTCAAAATCATTGTTACTAAACGCCTAGACATACAATTTATAAAGTAGATAGTATTTAATGAAACTTGGATACTCTGATAAAAACTCAGATAGTGTCTAATTAGAACTGAGAGATTGTCTAATAAAAGCTTAGAGACTATTTGATGGACAGAGACTTTATTTTAGACGAAGCCAGTGTGGCACTCCAAATGATAGGTGCAAGATAATTGATTTGGGAGAAGGCTGTCAAGTGGACTGGCACTGGTGGAGGACTGGCATATCATTCTTCATACTAGCTCTCCTCGATATCTCTCTTTTTGATCCATCAGCTTTGCACCTCATATATGGAGTGCCACCTGGGTTTCTATCCATTAAACCTGGAAGATTGCGGTGTGTAGCGAAAGCTACCTTATGTATTTAGCCTACATACGTCTATGGGCCTCTTCCACTCCCACTACAAGGCCTTACCTTTCCTACCTCTATTTAATGCAATATACTTATGTAGTATAACGCACTCAGTATAAAGATGGCGAGATTGTAAGTATGGGATAACTTCCAGGTTTCTTGAGAAGCTCAGATAATTCTAATAAAAACTCAGATACCGTCTAACAAAAGCTCAGATACTAGCCATGAAAAGCTCGGAGATTGTTTCACAAAAGCTCAAAAAAAATTACATGCCCCTCCTATCTAAAGATTCCCGAGAGATATCTGGTATAGCTTGCCTTGACAAAAGAAAACTGATTAACCCCTATAGCATCCCGATCTTGTCCCTCTATCGATATCTTGATAATCACTCCAGCAAACCAGCAGCAATAGTCTCCCCACCACTTCTCAAAACCACCCTCTGACCAGCCTCCAGCGGCACCTGATCGTCCAACTCCACTCGCACTCTGGCAACCTCCCCTGGCTTCACCAGCCTTGGATTCTTCTTCTTCACCCCACCGGTGGTCTTGTCCAGCAGCGCAGGCATCGCGATAATCTTCCCTGCCGAGTGTAGTCGTCCCCGGTGGACATCCACTTGCATCGGCATCAAAAAGTCAAACGCCAGCGCCTTCAACGTGAACGTCTTATCTTTGGGGATTGGCTTGTTGGGGTCGCAGATAATGTCGCCAGATTTGACATGCATTGGGTCGATGTGGCTGAGATGTAATACCACGCTCTGTCCGGCGACAGCCCAGTCAGCCGGGGCCTCGTCCACAAGGATGGACTTGATGAAGGCCTTCTCCGTGGCCGGCTGGACCAGAACGGCGTCTCCCATTTGCAAAGATCCGGCGTCAACACGTCCAGAAACTGTGGCCTGACTTTGCTGTGTGCGGAAAACCTCGGAAATGTTGACTCTGAGAGGCTTCTTCGTAGCTCGAGCACTTGGTTCCGAACGCTCAAGCTCTTCGATGAGGGTGGGTCCAGTGTACCACCCAACAGCAGGGTTCTCGGATCTTTTGACCATGTTGTCACCGTGCAGGCCGGATACTGGTACGAAGGCGATATTCATTTTTTGAAAGCCGGTGGCTGACAAGAATCCGGAGACTTGGTTCTTGATCTCGTCAAATCTCTCCTGTGACCAATTCACCATGTCAAGCTTGTTGACGGCCACAATAATGCGCGCCACGCCCATGCTTCGAAGTAGGAGAGAGTGTTCCTTGGTTTGACCCTTGAGCCCGGACTCAAAGGCACCCGTGCTGGCGTCGATAACAAGAACGGCAAAATCAGCCTGGCTGGCCCCAGCTATCATGTTGGGGATGAAGTCTCTGTGTCCTGGGGCGTCAAGGATGGTGAAAGCTGTCGTCTCTGTCTCGAATCGGTTCGTGGCAATATCAATGGTGACACCGCGGGTCCGCTCTTCTGACCCCTGATCCAAAACCCAAGCAAGAGCGAATGATGATTTGCCTATCGTATGGGCTTCTTTTCGGAGTTTCTCGACAGTACGCTGGTCAACAACACCAAGGTCAAGCAGTAGCCGACCCATCATGGTGCTCTTGCCAGCATCGACATGGCCAACCACAACAAAACTGGCACTCTTCTTTTTGGTGCTCTTCTCAAACTCGGAGAGAACGTTGATGTTTCGGCTTTTTGGAAGAGGGGTATCGTCGATCTTCAGCTCCGAGACCGAACTGGATAGTGAATCTGTATTGCTTGATTTTGACTTTTTGCTCTGGCCGGCTGGGGGCTTCTTTCCGGCTGTATCAACTATCAGCATCAATGTTAGCACCCGCTCTTTGTCGAAAGCGAACCTTTCGCTTGAGCCGCGAGAACGATGTCATCCGGACTGGGCTTCGAAAATGCTTCAAGGACAGACGGCGCGAGTCCCAATGTAACCACATCCTGTCGGATGGTGATGGTGGGGGTATGGCTGCTAAAAAGCGTCTGGGCAAAGGCGGAAGGTTGAGCTTTCTTGACAGGCCGGGCCTGAGCAGGCTCTTCGACCACCTCTGGTTCTTTTGTGATGGGATTGGCGCTCTGCTGCTCAGACTCTGATCTCGGCTCTGTAGGAATGATAGGCACACGCCCCTGTGCAGTTGACGAAGAGGTCTTGAGACGCTTGCTGAATGCACCTGACAAGGGCATGTTTTCCTTCTCTGTCGAACTGCTATTGACAGAAAGGCCCGTCATCTGAGCTCGAGTTTGTTCCACCTCTTGCTCCGACGATTTCTCCTGAGCCTTCTTCTTCCTCGCTGCAGCCAGTGCTTGGAGCTTGGTCATCTTTGGCGCCGCTCCTGTGCCTCCAAGAAGCCCACACCGCGATCGCGGTACCACGGGCGGAATCAAGACACTTTCTCTATCCTTTGGGATGTTTCCCCAAGGCATGTCGTGAAAGAGGGCAGGCAGGGATGCCTGGGGCAGGGGATATGAAGGGCATGATCCCGACACCCAGAAGCCCACATCGTCTTGTCGAGACCCCGTCTGTGATGAACATCGGCCGCCCAGTCCGTGTCGGTTGTTCTCGGCCCAGTCTGACGAGTCTTCAAACTCGCAGGAAATTGTAGCTGTTGCAGGGGTTAGGTACTTACCAGTGGGCTTCTGAGTGGCGGGCTTCGGTGCCTTTGGTGCTGGGCGGTTGATGAATTTGTTGGTCAGATATGTCACCGATTTGTCAACGTCAAAATAGTAGTGCCAGAGAGCCTCCTCGATTTGCTCTTTGGTGACCTTTGACGCCTCCGTGTCGAGGGCACTGCGAACATCGACCACGCCCTGTTCCATAAGAAGTCGATTCTCCTCCTCTTCCTGTAGATCCACCTCGTACTCATCCAGCACCTCCTCATAGTCCAAGTTGCGGATAGCTCTGTGACGCGACATCTTGTCGGTTGGTGTAGATCTGTGTGTATCTGGCTAGTGTTGGTGGGAAGTGCGGTTCAGGTGTTGATGACTTGGTCTAGGGTGAAAGAAATCTGAGGCTGGAGCGAGCGAGTCCTCTGTTTAAGTAGTTGTTTGAGTGGCGAGTGTGAATTTTGAGTTGTGGTGTGAAAAACTCTGTTGCGGTGTGAAGAACTCTGAATTGACGCCAATACAGTCCCTGATCTTGAAGAAAGTGAACCTCTCAATTAAAGTCTTTTGAGTTCTGCCCAGGCGCATTGGTTTGGCGTTGACCTTGCTTGGAAGCTTCTCTGGACTGTGATGGGGACAAGTGATGTCGATGGCGGGGTTGTCCTGCCGTTTTGCCAGGTTAACCCCACCATCACAGGCACAGTGCCCAAAGGCGGTGAACACCCAAATCGTGGGGCTCCTAGGGGCCGGGCTGTTGACAGCCAACCACAGGGCTGAGTCGGACTTAGATTCTGCCGTGGCCGCCAACTGGGAGGGTCAATTTTTTGAGATTGCGTCTGAGCTCTGGCGATAGCGAAAGCTGCCTAGCGGTGGAGGAGCAAGCCCAGGAGCCCTGTTTATTGACCAACCTCTGGAAACCGTCTCGGAAGCCAGCACCACCACGACCCTGACCTTGGCGCATCTTCCTACAAGAGACAAACAAACAATCCTTCAAGATGGCGATGAGTATGTCCAGAAGCACCCTTGCCGCTTTATTCCTAAGAAGACCCCAGCGTGCTAACTACCCGGCTTATAGATTTGGACTTGTCGAACGGTATGCGACGACACCTTCCCCGGGGTACGGTCACCGCGTTACTGACGGATGCATACCACAGCGGCGGTGATGAAAGATGAACAGGGACGGCCTTTCATTGTAGTCAGAGAGTCAGTACCGCCCTCGATTCTTTCAAGTCCAACACATCCTCCCCCACGTTGCCCCGCTAATACCCCTTTTCAGTCAGGGCAAGAAGAAGCGCCAGTATGGCAACGAAGCCGTCAAGTCCCACATCCTCGCTGCCCGCACCGTTGCGAACATCGTCAAGACCTCGTTAGGCCCCCGTGGTCTCGACAAGATCCTCATCTCCCCCGACGGCGATATCACAGTAACGAACGATGGCGCGACCATCCTGCAGCAGATGGAGATTACAAACCACGTAGCCAAGCTGCTTGTGGAGCTTTCCAAGTCCCAGGACGACGAAATCGGTGACGGCACCACTGGTGTTGTCGTCCTCGCCGGTGCTCTCCTCGAACAGGCCGCCGAGCTCATCGACAAGGGTATCCACCCCATCCGCATCGCCGATGGTTACGATCAGGCCTGCGACATTGCCGTAGCGGAACTCGACAGAATTTCCGATGTTATTGAGTTTGACAAGGAGAACACAGAGAACCTGACCAAGGTTGCGAGAACAAGTTTGGGCAGCAAGATTGTTTCCAAGGCTCACGATCAGTTTGCCAAGATCGCCGTAGATGCGGTCTTGTCTGTGGCGGATCTGGAACGGAAGGATGTCGACTTTGAGCTGATCAAGATGGACGGCAAGGTCGGCGGCTCTCTTGAGGACACACTCCTCGTCAAGGGTGTTATTGTCGACAAGGACTTCTCACACCCACAGATGCCCTCCGAGGTCCGGGACGCCAAGATCGCCATTCTGACGTGCGCGTTCGAGCCCCCCAAGCCCAAGACCAAGCACAAGTTGGAGATCAGCAGCGTCGAGGAGTTCAAGAAGCTGCAAAGCTACGAGCGCGAGAAGTTCGTCGAGATGATTCAACAAATAAAGGATGCCGGTGCCAATCTGGCCATTTGCCAGTGGGGTTTCGACGACGAGGCCAACCATCTCCTCCTCCAGAACGAGCTCCCCGCCGTAAGATGGGTTGGTGGCCCAGAGATTGAGCTGATTGCCATTGCGACAAACGGCCGTATTGTTCCCAGATTCGAGGACCTTAAGCCAGAGAAGCTTGGCACCGCTGGTATCGTCAGAGAAATGACCTTTGGCACTACAAGGGAAAAGATGCTTGTTATCGAGGAGTGTGCCAACACTCGTGCGGTAACAGTCTTTGTTAGGGGCAGCAACAAGATGGTATGTACATTCTCTAGAGATCTTTACCGAGAACCGGATTTCAACTAACACTCCCATAGATTATCGATGAGGCCAAGCGCTCCCTCCACGATGCCCTTTGCGTCGTAAGGAACCTTGTCCGTGACAACCGCGTTGTCTATGGTGGTGGTTCCGCCGAAATTGCATGCTCTCTGGCCGTTGAGGACGAGGCTGTCAAGACCCCCGGTCTCGAGCAATACGCCATGCGCGCCTTCGCCGAGGCTCTTGATGCCATCCCCATGGCCCTTGCCGAGAACAGCGGTCTCAACCCTATTGCCACTCTTGCCGAGGTCAAGTCTCAACAGGTCAAGGACCCATCTGGCCGTGGCCGTCTGGGTGTGGACTGCATGGGCCGCGGGTCCAACAACATGAAGGAGGCGTTTGTTATTGACCCATTGATTGGAAAGAAGCAGCAGCTCATGTTGGCGACACAGCTGTGCCGCATGGTGCTCAAGGTGAACAATGTTATCATCTCGGGCTCAGGGGAGGATGACTTTTAAGATGGGCGGAGTACATATAAAAGCTTAGACATGCTGAGATACCTACAATGCTGAGAGGGTTGTAATGACTATGTTGATTGCTCTTAATAGGTTTGTAGTACTGGATTAGGTCTGGGAAAAGCTTACCCTTGAGGCTTTTATGGTGTTGTGCGTTTCTACCAGGGCGTCCTTCCGGCAGGAATCTTGTGAGGGAGTGAGGTTGAGTGCATGGGGGCCTGTTAAAGTTCCCATGTGAGTTGAGCTATATCCTACCACCCTTACCACAAAATAATGAGATACTAAAGTAGGTTAACATGCCTTGAAGGATAGTCTATAGGCCTTTAAAAGATAGTTTATAGGCTTTTAAAGATAATTTGTAGGCCTTTAACGATAGTTACTAGGCTTTAAAAGATCGTTTAAAGGCCTATTAATTTACTTTCAAAGTATAGTTCATAGTATAATATGGGTTAACCTACTTTTGTGTGTCAAACTATTTTGTGGCGAGGGTACCTACAACGCCAGAGCTTAGTGTCCGAGCTTCTGGACCATCTGATCCCAGCTTTATCTGAGCATCTACAAGTCATATCCCATGATTCTAATTAAATCATCTATTAAATCATCTCAGCTTAAACTCACGGCACCTTATACATCGTCATCTTCTCTCAGCCTGCCATCGCAACCCTAACCCTTGCTTACCTTCCATCAGCGCCAACGTCCAACAACGCGCAAGCAAGTGGAAGTATTCGTACTTATCTTTCTGCACAGCCCCTGGATTTGATAATGTTCGGTGGCGTATGGCACTTCCTCTAGTTTTACACAGCCCAAAACACGCGTCATTCGGCCCCATCCCTTTAATGTGGTCGTGCTGACCAAACCCTTGAAGAGCGTCGAGTCCACGACAACCCCAGCCGCATCATCAGAAGGGGAGAATGTCCAAGGCCGACTTTTTATAACACCCTTTTTATGTAAAGAATTTGAGAATATACCCTTGACGAAGAGCCACTTGTGCATCATCAAACAAGGATGGACGACCACCACCCATCACCAATCTCTGACCACTGGGTTCCCTGCTCGACATGTTCCCCTGGAGGTGTCCCCGAATCAGCAAAAGACTCATCCGGGCCAGAGACAGCACCGGTATCAACCCCACATACCGGCACACCCCACACCAAAGAACCAGGAACCCGAGCCCGCCGAAAGCCAATCCCGCGAAAGGGACACACAAAGTCCCGGCTGGGTTGCTTCCACTGCAAGAGGCGAAAGGTCAAATGCCAGGAGACGATCCCCTCCTGCTCGAACTGCGCGAGGGTCGGACTGGTGTGTGAGTACCCTGAGCGGCCGAGAATGGCGTCGGCGTTTTCGGCTTCGGTGATGACGGTGGTCCCAACGAACAGCTTGCAGTCATCGACGGCTACGGTGTTTACGCAGGAGGATATGAGGTACTTTCATCACTTTTTGGTGACTGCGTACCCGCCTTTGCCGATACAGGGGGATCAGATTTGGATGCAGACGGCGTGTTTGTCGCATAGCGTAAGCTCTCAAACTTGGAGAACCCTCGGGAGTATCTTACGCTGACTGGGCACCAGTATGATTATCTTATGCATGCCATGCTTGGGCTGGCGGCGTCACATCTTGATTTGCATGGGGGGAATTGCTCTTCGCAAGCGCTGGCTCACCGTGTCAAGGCGATACAGTCTCTTAACGACAGTTTGAGTAAGCCTTGCTCTTCACAGGCTGAGGGGGATGCGAGGTTTGCTGCTATGATGGCTTTGGCGTTTCAAGCGAGCTGTATGGCTGAGGGTATGCCTGAGTTTCTCGCCATGTCTAGGGGGTGTCATATTATTGCAAATACCGCTATGGGCAGCATGAAGAACTCGTTGTTCCGTGAGTTTACACAGGAAGGGTACTGTGATAGCGTTCGACGAGTCATTGGGATCGTTCCTTTGGATTTGAGCGAGGATGAGGAGATTCTCATTGGTGACTTTTTGAAGTCTCTGAGGGCACTCGGACCTCTGTGTAAGAGCCCGTTGGAGGTCAAGTTCTTGGCTTCAACAGAGGCAATTGCAAAAGCTGCCAGGACGTCGGCGTCAGAAGGTCAGTACCAGTCCGGTCTTTCTGGGAGAGATCAAATGCTGACTTGCTACCTATACAGCCTTTTCTCAGTTTGCCGCCCTGTATTCCTTATTCAACCACTCCAGCAATGAAGAGTTCGCCCCCTTTATCGACCCCAACAACCATCCAGCCCAACTGCTCTTCATCCACTTTGTTCTCATCGAGTTTGCCATCGGGCACATTGCTCTCACTACGTGCAACAAAGGTGGGCGTTTTGCCTATCGAAAAAGAACCTGCATTGCTTGGATGGAGAAGCTTGCTGCCGGGCTGCCTGTCGAGTACGAAAAATACGCAGAGTGGCCGATGAATTATGTCAGGAGGCTAGCTGCTCGCTAGGTGAACGGCCATCTCTTGACAACAACCTCACGCCTGAGTGTCACTTCCCCCCTCACTCTTCTCCCCCTCTGTCACCTCCCCCTCTGTCACCTCCCCCCTCTTCAAGCAAGCCCCCGGGTGCCAAATACAAAACAGCCCTATCGCCAGTAGCATCCCCGTCCCCTCAAACACCCAAAACAACCACTCATTCCGAAAGGCATACCCGTCAATCCCCTCCACGAACTCGACCAGCCGGTAAATGCACCTCACCTAGGTATTATCCATGATTAGCACCCTCCCTCCCTTTCCCCAACCAACCGTCTCCAGTCAATTGAAGTACTCACGAAAATCAACCCACTCGACACCCAAACCGCCACCAGCAACCCCCCCCAACCTCCCCCCTTGCTCCCCAGCTGTTTCACCAGAAAAGTAAACCTCCCCAGAACCAAAAGAAAAACCCCCACTCCCGCAACCTGCACCGCCAGCCCAGCAACAAGCACGTCAACTCCCGATAGTGCCTTCAGTCCAGTCCAGTTCGCCGACGCGGCGATGGAGGTCCCAGACCCCTGGATCGCAGCGGCGAGGATGTCGAACCCGACGAAGAGGCGGGTTATGAAGCGGGTGGGGATCTTGAGGAGGGTGTGCCGGGTGGGGAGGGAGTGAGAGATCAGCCGGCCGAGGAGGAGGTAGTTCCCTGCGGCAAAGAGGAGGGGGGCGAGGACGTGGAGGGTGAGGGTTGCTATGAAGGCGGCCTTTTTTGGGTTAGAAATTAGAGACAAGAAGAAGGGATGAGTGGGGTTGAGAGGGAGGGTTGGGCTGTGTTCGGGGGTAGGAAGGGGGTCTCTAGGAGGGGGGCGTACAATGTTCCCCTGGTTCTTGACCGAGTATATCCTCACCGCGTAGCCTGCCACTTCCAGCAAAGCACCAAGAGGGAAGACGGTCATGTACCAGGTCTTGTACCGGTAAAAGGTGAGGTAGGTGATGTAGAGACAGGCGAAGAAATAGAGGATCAGAAAGAGGATGGCGGGTGGCAGGGAAGGTGAGTACATCCAGACGGAGCCCTTTTGGAAGACTTGGGTGGTGGGGATTTTGGCCATTTTGACGGCTCCCTACGAGAAAAGGGGGAGACTTGCGTTGATGGAAAGGATCAGGCAATGCATTGAGAGAAGGGGGCGCTATATACACGGGCTATGTGTGTTGACATATTGTTCTTTTGGTTGCTCCGGCGCTACCAGGCGCTGTACACGTTGTAGTAGAATCACTGGCGAGCAGACTAATCCTAAAAATGCAAATAAACCATCCTAGACTACCAGCATGTGGTGTTCAAGTCTCCCATACGCCTCTTTACATCCTTCCAGCCAGACTTCAACCACCAACTCAGTCTTGGCCACAGCCCAATCTCGGGTTCCCTTGGTTAATCCGATTGGTTTGGCGACACTCTCATCTTTCAGCTTATTGCCTTCAAGCCTTGGCGGCCCCATTTTAATGGTTAACGTCAAACAATTGGAGCAGTAGAACATTGCTGGACGATCAGACCGGAGGTGGTTGGCTGACAGCTTGTGTGACCTCCCATGGGAACGGTTTGCGTGTCCCGGCTCTCCCAATGCGAGGAATGCGAGTCAACAACCACGGTATTGGTGCGGCGCAGGAGCCTCCAAGATACTAAGCATCTCTTAAGGTATTCCGCCCGATGACGGGAAAGAAGGTTAATAGAGCTCGTATATTCCGCATTCTTCAACCTGTCAGGCCTTTTGTTGTCCTTATTTCCCATTACAACTTGTGATGTCGGCCATCGTATGTATCCTGCCAAGACCTAGTCGAAAAGGGGGCATAAATAGGGGTAGCGGTCTCTTCATAAGAGGCAAAAACAAATGCACCAGCGAATTATCTGTCCACAACCTTTCAGATAAAATTGGCTTGGAACAAGTACACAATATTTTCCCCTCTTTGGTTGTATATATCTGTTCTCTTGCACAGAAGGTAAATTTAATAAGCTTGCGATCAGTCTCGGATAACATCTAGATCAAGCTGAGACGATGTTGAAGCAAGTCAAGACAACACCATGGCAAAGCTAGGGCGTGACGATTAGAAGCACCGAGACGTAACACTGGTTTGCGAAGATGATGTGGTCGAGAGTAGATAACATGGTCTGTTACAACTCTCCCTCACTTTTTGCGCAACAGCTCTTAGGCCAGGTAGTCTCAAGCGAAGACAACATTCCCATTGGCATCAAGGTAAACCACATGCCAACCTCATCCAAGTCCGACGACTTCTTTCACTCCCATTCTCCCAACACCAGCCAACCCAGCAAAAGCCGACTCCTTCCATCAAAACAAGCCCGAGCACCACCCATCCAACCACACCCTCCGACTCTTCCCGTCCACCAGACCCTGCACGTCATTACGCTGGCCGTGCCTCTCCGATCTACCCCTCCACCCCCTGCCCCATGATTCTCCCCATCCGTGCGCTCATGCATAGCCAGCCAGGCGAGAGAAATGCATAGCTAATATTGATCTCGGGTGATGAAAGTTACTAGCCGTCATGATATCATCCTATTTTCTCACACGGAATGTCAAAGTTATGAAACGGAGAGCTTGAAACAGCTTTCCTCGGAGACTACCATTAGATATCTCACTGGAGAGACGCTTCAAGTTCATTACCTGGTCTTTGTGAACCTCATCCAGCAACAACATGAGAATAAACAACAGATTGTAGGTGCCAGTGAGGCTAGCCCTCGCTGTCAGTTGGTCCAACACATAAATGTCTCATCAACCGCAGGGTCATTGGACCACATGCCAAATTTAGAGGCCACTCAACCCTTCCGAGGAAAGACATCAAAAGACAACAGATGCGAAGCCAGAGCCCACGAGCTTACCTTTTCCCCGCAAAAAGCCACGATCTTGCATACCTCTCTGACAACTTGACTTCAAGCACACCACGTGGTGACCCACCCCTTCACTCTGGAATCTGCAAAGACACACAGACTGGCACGGTGCTTTCCATCCCCGGTTTGTTCTCTCCATGTCCTAACACTCCCGGGTGTACAGCTTTACTGCAAAAATCATGATGTAAACCCAGGCCCTGTGCAGCCCTGGCTCTATCATCCGGCATTCGCCAAGCTTTGGCCGAGGCAGAAGAAAGGATGTGTGTGTGCTGTCAGGTTGCCATCCTTTACAGAAATGGAGGCTGGAAGAGTCCAGACGAACGTCCACTGTGACAAGCACGTGGGCGATACTGGTGGTCTCAGAAGGGCTCTGAGCTCTCGCCACGTCGTGCTTTCGGTGGACCTGACCTCGCCATTAACCCGTCTGAGGGCCCCAAAGTACCATGTACATCGCTAGATGTACACTCAATGCCCAGCGTCTCGTTTGCCCAACAGCAAGAAGAACCGGGTCAGTCGCCATCCCAACTCTGGTCATCAACTCTAGGTGAAACGGCTTCTTCCTCAATACCAAACTCGTGCCCGTTGTGGCCCCGTCATCGAGTCAGTCTCCTCAGTGGCGGGCGGGTAGCGGAAGACGCTTCAGGGTCAAAAGGAACGGTAGCCTCGGCGCTCGTGGCCAACTACTATTCATGTTCATGTGTCAAGAGTATCCCATCCAAGTCAGAAACGTGGTGTGGACGGCGAGTTCTTCTAGAAGCCTTCCTAACACGGAGTCGGTTACCGTTCCGATTCCAGGATGGATGCCGGAGACCTAACCGAGGTTTGAAACGCTGACCGGAGCGGGGAGAAGATCCAATCCTGACTACACCTTGATACGCCGATGACCGACAAAGGGCCGACCCATCAGACCGGCCGAGTTCAAGCCGTTAACTTTGACAAACAGAGCATATTGAATCCTTGTTGATTGCATCATCCATTTTAGACGATGCCCAATCTGTGTGTCGACGTTTGGGACATTGATTTGAGACTCCCAACCTGCTCACCGTACCCAATCTTGATGAACCAGTACGTAACGGTTATTCAGACCATGTGGAAGCGAATACCTATTATCGCTGTCTCTCGGCCGTAGGTTCGTTGTGTGTCGAGGTGAGAGTGGAAAGTTGACCAATGAGGTGTAAGAGAGGGTTTAGTTCGGACTCCCGACAAAACAGTGTGTATTCAAAACATCCGGGACCAGACCACGGAAGTAGGCGCGCCAAGTATACATATGTGCTGCAAGACGGCGTCGAAGAAGATGCTGCAAGCAAGATGTCGATCAATTCCTGTTGTCAGCAGTTTCTTTAGCTTCCTCTACGAGAGGACCAGAGGACCGGACCCAAAACCGTGAAGCTTCTGTTGGCCGTGAATGTGTTTCCGGATGGCGATGACAAATCCCCCACGCTGGCATCCGAGATGGCTCGCAGAGGACAGGCCAGCGGGATATCGCCATGGCCGTGGCAGTGAGCATTGTTTGGCTAGGAATGGCCCGGGGAGGAGAAGAGTTGGCCGAGCGGAGGGGCAAGACATGAAAAAAATGCAGCATTGCAGTCAGAAAAAAAATCGGTGAGCGGGCAGTAAGAAATGGGCCACGATGATTTGTACACGATGGCTGGCGGGGATGGGCAGCAACAAGTCAACGACAGGGTCGATAAGGCTTATCAGCGGGAGTGATGCAACTCGACACCTCCTTCCCGCAAAGCTACCCCTCCTGCCTCCTCCTGCCTCCTGTATTGCTGCTGCAATGCTCCTGCCTCGATGCAGCTTCGCGCGGGGCTTGCTGCTGTCGTGCATGGAAGGCGTGCTTGCTGCGGAAGCTACGATCCAACCGAAGGCCTGATGCGTTGTTGCCGTCTCCATTCGCTCTTTTGGTTATTTTGAATAAATCAATTTTAAAAGAATAATCCGGTTTTCTGATTGCTGGGATATCAATATGTACATACCACCTCACTGCAAGCCTCCTGCAACAACCTGCCTGTTCCCTTTGGAGTCTCTCGCGGATCTCATCCCCGCCATCCACATGGAACCCGTTCTGAAACTGTTCAAGATGGACCGTTATCTATCCATCTCCGAGGACAACACCCGATCATGCGAAGTATTTCGACAATCTCGTCGAGGCGTCTTAGACGTGGGATGAGACCGAGACCAAGGCCGCCAGCGGCAGTCCCTGTTTGGTCGATGTGACGGCGTGACGTTCATTCTCATTGGGGCTCTTTTTACGACACCTCAGCTCAAGTCTCTTCCGATCACGGGGTTACAACACCAAACTCTCTTGGTCATGATAGTGTTGACGTGGTCCTCACGGAGCCGGGGACCCCCATCTTCCATCGAGATCTGTCTGATCTTGAGATCTGCGCCCTTTCCGAGAATAATGCAGGCAAGCGGGAGGTAAGCGCTGCTCGAAAAACGGGATGCTCACCGACTGTTCCAGTGTTCATGTGTTGAATGCAAGAGAAGCTCAGCTTCCCGGCTTCTCACCTGAGGCACCGAGTTTAGGGCTGTGTCGTCCCCGCAAAGCTCCGTAGCGTCTCCCAGTTTCCCCGCGTCTCTTGTGTTTAGCGATACCAGCACGAGAACATTGTGAAATTAGCGCAGCTTTGGGCGTCTATTTTAGTGCTCTGCCACAGTTGACATTGAAACGGACTAGCAGATAGCGTCACTTCCAGTGCCATTAAATTAAAATCTCCAGTCGAGTCTAGCTAGGGAGCAAGGCATAGCGGCTTTTACGCAGCGTAGTCTAACCGTCCTAGGTAAAACATTTGAAAATATAAGAATATATTAAAACTATAGCTAAAAATAAGTCTATTTTATATCCAGAAATACAGCAATATCTTAACTTACTCACATTCAAATTAACAGCTTAGAAATACTTTATTTTTAGATTTTTTAAATCGATAACTTTTAAAAGCTTTTTAGTTACTAAGCTTTATGATTAAGCTACCTTATAATTACTATTGAAGGTTATGTTCCATATATTGGTTTGGGGTGCGGCCACAGGCCTGAGAGTATGAGTAAGGAAGCGGGGCTCTCAGAGGACTCAGGGGTTCAGGGGTCATGTATATAAGCGGTCTGCTTCGGACATTCTATTTTAGACAGGACATCGACTTTTATTCTTTTCTTCGTATTTTGTGCCTTGCACGCGTGCAGGCAATTCTGGCCCTCTGATCAGGCCAATCC